CGGGGCGCCGAGAGCGATGACTTACAGTGGCCGACGCAGACCTGCTCCGTCTGTGCAAGAAGTTCATGATTGCGACGACCCCAGATGTCGCGGTGCTGGACTTGTCGCGGGATCACTGGAGACTGATCCAGTATCGCAGACGGGAGAACTGGAAGCGAGTCTCAAACCAAACGGTGGCAGTGGTTATCAGAGGGCTGAACAGCGATGACAGGCCCCATGTCGCTTCGAATTGAGCTCTCCCGTCTGAAAGATATTGAAAAGGATGATGAAAAGGAAGAGCTGACCAGGAGGTTTGCAATTGATGAATTTTGTTTTTTGGCGATACCCAGGTTAGGGTATGAACTGGGGACGTGGTTAGGTGCGGGAGAGCGAGGGAGGTGGAAGCTCCGTAACCATGGGAAAGATGGGGCGGAAAAAAAGGCCCAGAGGCCCAGAGGCATCAGAGGCGCCCGAAGCGGAGAGAGGAGAGAGAGCCTGACACCTGGTGGCACTGAGCTACTGGGCAGCGACGCGGTGGCTGGCACTGGCGAGCTGGATGGGGGTCTGGAGTTTGTGGCTGTGTTGGAAGTCTTGGATGTCCAGCTTCCAGAGTCCGGGCCCCCCCCCCAAGTACAAGGACAGGTTTTGCCCGTGGGGGGCCCAATGACCGCATACCAATCACAATGTGTGACATTTCCTTACGTCATTCGCTCTTAGTGATGATGTTTACTCGAACTCTTTTCCTCTCTTTTTCCAGAGTGGCGGCACAACGTCAGCGTCCTCATAGGTTTATCAGGTAATGATAATATTATCTACTTGTAGCTACTGTATGTACCCAATATGCAGAATCTGGAAACCCAAAGGAAGAGAGAGGCACGTGCTTGAATTAAGCTCGCTATCCCTCGTCCGGATCGCCTGGCCTCTCCTCCCACAGGAATTGAACAGAGGGCACAGCAAGAAACCCAGCAGATCCCTCCAGATTCCCTTTCAAGTTTAACTGACGACTAACAAGAGATCACATTGCTTTTGAAGCTCTGCTGCCCTTTGTTTTGTCCTAAATGCCATATGCACGAAGGCGGGTATCATTGCACATTATCCCTCGGCCCGCCAGGCTTGCAGGCTCGGAGTAAATAAGTGGTGGCCTGACTTGAAGAAAACACACCTGTGCCCAAAGAGGTAAGGGGGTCCTCCCACCACGACGAAGAGCTCGCCGTCGGATATGAAGAGGAGGGTTCCGGTTGCAAGGCTGAGGGCGATCGTCCGTAAAGGGGAAGATAGCTTGCAACACAAGAGAGCGCTACAGTACCTCTGTCGATTAGGGGCAGCGAGCGAAAATGCCTGGTCAGACGAAAATCGTTTTGCACTCGAAGGGCGCTGTCAACATCGCTTTCCCCGCAGATAGAGTTCTACTAAAGCGATTGCTTGGTACTTCGTATAGTCTGTTCATGTGTCTCGATGCCATCCCACCTTTTGAGCAAACCCATTTGTGCTCTGGCTACTCCAGTGTGCTTAGGTCAATCTGAGCAGACATGGCATACACGCACCAAGACTCGACTGCCGATGCCATTGATCCCACTACGCTGACTCCGCTTCCACTGCCCGCCGGTATCCGATCTCGTTTTGTCGATACTTCCCCTCACAGCCTCGTCTTCCACATTCTCGAATCCCTGCCAGCGGCGGTACCGCCTTCTGGTCCCAGGCCGAAGCTGATCCTCTTGATCCATGGATTTCCAGAGCTTGCCTATTCATGGCGCAAAATACTCCCTCTACTTTCCGCCCAGGGCTATCATGCCGTCGCCTTTGACCAGCGCGGCTACGGCCGCACCTTCTCCCGCAAACCACTTGAAGCATCTTCATTCCGGCCCCTGAATCTTGTCAAAGATACTGTCACTCTGGTGAACGCGCTTGGGTATACTTCCGTATCCTGTGTCGTAGGGCACGATTTTGGCGCTGTCACGGCCAGCATCTGTGCCCTCGCAAGACCGGACTTGTTCCACTGCCTGGTAATGATGTCCCATCCGACAAAAGGCCCTCCCCAAAGTCCTCTTGCCACCTCCCCTTCCTATGGCTCCGCCTCCCATGAACCTCGGCCCCCAATCGACATGGAAAAGGCACTCTCCCAACTCCCCCGCCCCAGGAAACATTATAAATGGTACTACTGCACTCAGCCGTCAAACGATGAGATGACCAACCCCACGGGTCCGCCCCTGCACACGTTTCTTCGCGGCTACTTCCATCTGAAGTCTGCCGACTGGGACCTCAACGACCCGCACAAGCTGGACGGATGGATCGCGACAGAGCTGGAGAAGATGCCGCGGTATTATATCATGGACCTGGACGACAACATGCGCCAGGCCGTGGCGCGAGACATGGCCAAAGAAGACCCACAGGCCGTCGCCTCGCGTTCCGCCCGCTGGCTCCAAGACGACGAACTTGCCGTCTACGTCCAGGAATGGGGCCGCACCTCCTTCCAGGGCGGCCTGAACTGGTACCGCGTCCAGACGCAGCCGGACATCGCGTCGGACATGCAGGCGTGGTCGGGCGCAAAGATTTCTGTCCCAACTGTGTTTGTGAGTGGCAAGAAGGATTGGGGCACGTTCCAGGAACCAGGTGCGGTCGAGGCAATGGAGACCGGTCAGAGCGTGAGGCCCCTGATGTATAGAGGAACGGTGCTCGTCGATGGAGCCGGGCACTGGGTGAACCAAGAGCAACCGGAGAGGTGTGTGCAGGAAATTGTGAAGTTGGTGAGAGAGGTTTGTGGCTAGGTTTGGTGCACCAAGGACATAACCTCAGACAGCGACGATGGCATGAAATGATCAAACATACCTAGGTAGGGACATACGATTTTGAGGTTCGTAAAGAAATCAAACTTGAAGCCTTTCTATCATACCATCAGCAAAATTTTGCAGGGATATCATGCGAATTCCTTTTCCCATAAAGTGCATCATGGAACTCTTTGAGTTTCCCTTTATTTCACAAACAGCTCCCGTGGACATCGACCCCAGACGCCTTCGCTGAAATCGAATGACTGGCTTGAAAAAGACTCCTTCCCTTGCAGACCACCGGCGGAGAAGTCAGCCTCAACCTTCATATCTCAATCTTCGCCAGTAGAAGAGCACGGCAAACCCCTGTACTTGTGCGCATCTTGGAAGTGCATCAATTTCCATCCACCGCCTGATTCCGACACTCCTTCTACTCGTCTGCTTCCGTCATATCAGAGTCGAGCCGATCTCTTCGTGCCTTGCCCTTAGCATGCTCCGTGTCGTCATCATCTTCATCATCATAGTTCTCCTCGTCTTCCGAATCATTGTTTAGCTCCTGATCCGATTCGCTTCCATTGACCACATCGTCGTCAAAGTCGTCAAAGTCGTCGAAATCCACGTCTTCCGCGTCGCTATCGTTCCAGAAATCATCATCAACCTTCTCGATAACCGGCTTAGTGGTCTCGTGCGTAGGCATGACGAACCCTTCCGGAATGTCCTTCTTTGAAGCTTCGACATCCTGCCTCACTCTTGCTTTGAATGCCTCCTTGTCATCCCTGAACATGACACTGGCGTCGACATTGGCTGGAGAAGATATTTCGGGATCATCCAGTAAGGAAAGAATGGAGATGAGTACGGATTCAACTCGCTGAGCAGGGGACCAGCGTTCGCCAGCGCTCTCGCCAGACATGATATCCTCGCCAGGTGCATGAAGAATGGAAATGCAAAGTCTGCCGTCAGCATAGATATTTGGATGCCATAATGGTTTGGAAAACCGGAAGTCTGAAAGAGGTCAGCGTCAGACAAATTGAGGCGTGCCGGTCTCCTTACCCGGTGGTTTGTAGGGATAATCTCTTGGAAAGCTCATCTGAGCCTTGAAATAGCCGCCATAGTAAAGCGAATCGGGGTTAATGACCATCAATGCCAGGTTCCAATGGTAGATATTATCTTCATCGATCTGACTTCGTCAGCCTTGCGTGCGGGACAGGTTGGTGCTACGTCTCACTTCAATCTGAACCCATTTCTCCTTGGCCAAAGCCTTGTATTCCTTCATGAGCACCGTTTGTGACATGCTGGGCGAAGGTGCTGCAACACGGGTTGGCGGGTGGTGGTGGAGAGGAGGGCTATCGATGGAGGCGGCAACGGCAGGGATTTTAGTTGCGGGAAGCGCGCGAGGCGTCAAAGCGGACAATGACTCTGTGTGTTTGTCTTGAAGTTGAATGAGGTATTTGAAGGGTATTATTTGGCGGACGGAGGTGACTGTTATCGACTATTATACATTATTCAGTGTCGTCTTAGGTTGGATCTCCCGGATCTGGGCGACAGAATAAGGTGTGGCAAAGCTCAAAGGAGCACACAGGAATCCGCACAGGCCACAAGCTTCAGGCAGGAGTAAGGAGCCAGGAACAAAAGGAGCGATTTTCCAGTCATGAGAAAAAGGCGGTCGAGATGGTGAGTGAGATGATGCCAGGATTAATATATGAGGTGATATCGCGTTTGAGGTGTCGGTGGGTGCAACCCAATGTGAAGGTCCGCAGCCGGATTGTTGGCCACTCTTTTGGGCAGGCAGGGCAGGCAGTTGGGTGGGTTGGGCGTCGGTCCTCCCCTATCGTGCTCCCCGAAAGCGCCCGAGGAAAGGCTCTGGCCTTCCAACCACTCACCGTTCATCCTCCTTCCCCGACCTCGCCAGTGAGCCAGTTCGGCATGCCCACCAGCCCACCAGCCCTACTCGGGGGGTATGTGGTAGGAAAGTTTGACCGTACCCGGTACATTTAGTTTAGTGGCGTCACGGTGTTTTGGCAAAAGTGTTGATTGCGGCAAGCGGCACCACTTTCGCAACAACCGAGTATGAGACCTCTTCCTTGTCTCGCCCTTCTGTTCAAGTTACCCGGGGGGGCTTTGTCGCAATATCACCTTGACGTGCTCTTAAATCTTGTTCATATCAGTATTCTCCCTCGTCGCTTGTCTGGGCCGACATGAGTTGGGCCGTCCCCGCATCGGTTGAAGTGTGGTGACTGTTGTGGTATGTCGATTGCTGCAATGTTTGCGCATTGCAACAGCCCGATATGGCAAGTTGATGACTTGTCGGCGTGCTTCCAGGCAGCGTAGGTGGTCCGCCATGTTCAGTAGAGATTACGTGCTGACCGGCTGCAAATAGCTATCTTCAGACTCTCTTTCCTTTGCTGGCATGTGCGATATCTTTCCTGCTTCTACTTTACCAGTTCCTTCGGCAAAGGACGAAACGACTCCACAACCAACCTCGAGATCTTCTTGTTGATGTTAGCGAGGACGAGCATGAGTCCGATGAGGAAGACGAAGATAGCCTCGCCCGGCTAACACTGCAAAAAACACACAGTCATGGCAATCACTCAACGAGGGATGTGAACAAACCAACAGGCGAGGTTTTCATGGTCACGTTGGAATTTCTATTGCTGTCGGCACAACTTGCCGTGAATGTTGTTGCCCTTTTGAACATAACAGACCGAAAACAAAGGACTTGGACTATGGAGACCGCTGTGTGGTCATACCTCCTGGTCATTGCTGGAGCACGTCTGGTCTCGTCGACAACAAGATGGCAATCTCCTCTCAAAGGCCTCTGGAATCACAGTGCAACACTGTACATTGTCCAATGGCTTTGCCAAGTTTGGGTCTTCCGATCTGTTCTTGTTCACCGTCCCGGACGCCTTTCTCAGATCCTGACAATAGTATCGTTCGCGATCACGTGCACGCTTGTCTTAATCGCTCTGACTGCGCGAAAGGGGAACAAAGGTGTTTTGTTGGAATATGAAGGTGAAATTGAACCATCTCGAGAACCCTTGGCCAGCGTCCTCTCCCTGGCAACGTTTACCTGGGTCGACCCGATCGTGTGGAAGGGATTCAAGAAGACATTGGAGCTCGCTGATGTCTGGAATCTGGCTTTTGAAGACAAGGCAGAGACTGTGCTTGCTCACTTCCGGCAGATTCGAAAGACTCACTCGCTAGCTGTCCGGCTACTCCTGCATTTTAAGAGTCAGATTTTGATTCAAGGTGCATGGTGTATGATGGCGAGCATCTTCATGTTTCTTCCAACTCTACTCTTGAAGGCCGTTCTGGAGTATCTGGAGAACACAGAAACTGTTCCAGTCAGTGCGGCATGGCTGTATGTCATACTTCTTTTTGCCACAGGAGCAGTACAAGCCGTCGGTGACGGGCAAGGCCTGTGGATTGGTCGAAAAATCTGCATTCAGTTGCGTGCTATCATCATCGGCGAAATATACTCTAAGACATTGAGAAGAAAGGCAGCGGCTACCACTGATACGAATCTTGGAGATGAAGCTACTTCAAAGAAGACAGCCTTTTGGTCTAAGATCTGGTCCTTATGCAGGGGAAAAGGTCGGAAAGACGACAATAATGCCTCTAAAACCGATTCTAAGAAAATCACCAGGTCGCAAGCCAACAATGGCACTATCATCAACTTGATGTCCATTGATTCCTTCAAAGTGGCTGAAGTCTGTGCCTACTTGCATTTTCTCTGGGCTGCAGTACCCGTGCAACTGATTATGGCTGTGAGTCTGCTATACAACGTTCTTGGCTTCAGCTCTTTCGTCGGAATTTTCGTGATGGTACTTATTTTACCCCTCAACCTCTACATCGCACATTCCTTCCAAGCGGCGCAGAAACGGATCATGGCAGCCACTGACAGCAGAATTCATGTCACGAACGAAGTTCTCCAAAACATCCGAATTATCAAATACTTCGCTTGGGAGCAGCGTTTCCAGAACAACGTCAACGAGAAAAGACAAGTCGAGCTATCTGCCCTGTGGAAGAAATACGTTTTATGGGCATCTGCAGCTACCATCTGGAGTGGTGTCCCGATTGTAATCACGTTCGTTTCTTTTCTCATGTATACTCGAGTGGAGAAGCGCCCTCTGGTACCGTCAGTTGCATTCCCGGCCTTATCGATGTTCTCTCTACTGCGAATTCCGTTGGATCAGCTTGCCGATATGGTCGCTCACGTTCAAGAGTCGAAGGTATCGGTCGATCGAGTCGAGCAGTTTCTGCAGGAAGCAGAAACCGAGAAATATTTGCAATTGCGCCAGAGCAGACGGAGAAGTTTACCGACTGCCCGCATTGCATTGGAAAACGCTACGTTGACTTGGGGAACAACTAATGCTGACGCGACAGAAGCATTCAGACTTATTGACATGAACGTTGAATTCTCTATTGGTCAATTGAATGTCATCGCAGGACCCACGGGAGCCGGCAAGACCTCCCTCTTGATGGCTCTACTCGGCGAGATGCAACTACTCAGTGGTACAGTTTACATCCCAGGTGGATCTGTACGACAAGATCTACGCCCTGACCCCATCACGAGCCTGACCGAAAGTGTGGCATATTGCGCACAGCAGGCATGGCTGGTCAATGCGACAATCAAAGAGAACATTCTCTTTGCCAGTCCTTACGATGAAGATCGCTACCATGAGGTTATTTCAATTTGTGCTCTAGAGCGGGATCTAGAGATACTCGATGCCGGTGACCAGACCTTAGTCGGTGAAAAGGGGATCACTTTGTCCGGAGGCCAAAAGCAGAGAATATCGCTTGCACGAGCGATCTATTCGACTTCGAAGCACATCCTTCTCGACGACTGTCTTAGTGCTGTCGATGCTCACACCGCCAAGCACATCTTCGAAGAGGCATTAACTGGAGAATTGATGGCCCACCGGACTTGCATTCTGGTCTCGCACAATGTTGCACTCACGGTCCCACTCGCAAGCTGGGTGGTCGTCCTGGACAATGGTAAGATCATGGCCCAAGGGACGCCGCAAGACATTATCGAAAGTGGCACGCTCGGAGATGAGCTGTTCAAATCACGCCCTGTTTCAAGAGCCAACTCGACTCCGCCGTCTCGCACACCGTCCAATCTGGAAGAAGAGAGATCACATTTATCTGGAAGAAATACAAACGGCACGGCGACCCCTAGTGGAAAAGCTACCAATAGAGGAAAATCGAAGACTAATAGGCCTGAGAAGCCATTTATCGATCATCGACTTGAAGCAAAGGCCACGGGAAGTGTGAAATGGTCTACAATACATATGTACCTTAAGGCTATGGGCCCTTGGTATTACTGGATTTTCGCGGCATGGGGATTCATAGCCACACAACTGGGTTCGGTAGCGACAAACCTGTGGATCAGACAGTGGGCCAATGCCTATCATATCCGCGGTGTCCATCCGACACACGCAGTGGTGAATGCTTTTCAGGACCTAAACCCGGCAGGAGGAACGTCAAGTTTTGGAGGGTTGCGCGTTCAAATGCCACAAACAGCGCCAACAAGCAGCATATTCTGGGTCGTCAAGTCGTTATACGACGTCGACGATGGCTACTACCTTGGGATATATGCTCTGATTGGGGGGCTGTATGTGCTTATTTGCTGTGAGTTCTCCTCTTTGAGATACCGTCCCGTGTTTGAGGCCTCCATTTCATTGTCCTCTCAGCATCGACACAAGCTAACGATCACTCCCAGTTTCCCGGGAAATCATACTGTTCTGGGGTTCTCGTCGCGCTGTAAGTTCTCCCTGTATTTAAAAGCCTGCTTAACCTGCGCAAGGGCTACGGGTCAATGGGCAGCCTCAACATGGGCACGAGCTAACAGATACTTACAGTCTTGGGGTCTGCATGAAAAACTGTTGACGAGCATTCTTCGCGCCAAGTTTCGTTTTTTCGATTCGACGCCGCTAGGCCAACTGACAAATCGATTCTCTAAAGACATTCAGGCGCTGGATCAGGAAGTTGCTCCTGTGGCTATTGGCATGCTGCACAGTGCCGCCGCCGTGCTTACGATTGTGGTCCTGATCTCCGTTATCACTCCTGGCTTCTTAATTCCTGGGTTCTTCATCACCATCATGTACGTATTGACCGGTCTACTCTACATCCGCTCTTCACGCGACTTGAAACGAATCGAAGCAGTCCAGCGAAGCCCTCTATTCCAGCATTTCGGGGAGACGTTGAGTGGAGTGGTCACTATTCGAGCCTATGGCGATGAGTCGAGATTCATCGAGGACAGCCAGTTGAAGGTCAACACGCACAACCGCCCATTCATCTACTTGTGGGCCACTAACAGATGGCTCGCCTTTCGTATCGACATTGCGGGAGCACTGGTCTCTTTCTTCTCCGCCATGTTTGTGGTCCTTAACGCTGGCCGAATTGATCCCGGAGCTGCAGGGTTGGCTCTATCTTACGCCATCACTTTCACCCAAAATGTCCTGTGGCTTGTGCGACTCTATGCCGCCAACGAACAGAACATGAACGCCGTCGAACGAATACAAGAGTATATCAACATCGAGCAAGAAGCGCCAGCGAACATCCCGGAGACCAAACCTGCCGCAAATTGGCCCAGTCACGGAGTGGTCGAGTTTATCGAGTACAGCACGAGATACCGCCCAGATCTGGAGCCGGTGCTAAGAAAGGTGACATTCAAAATTGAAGCAGGACAGAAAGTTGGGATTGTTGGAAGGACTGGGGCCGGCAAGAGTTCACTTGCCTTGGCTTTGTTCAGAGGCCTCGAGGCCGAAGAAGGCAAGATCTTGATTGATGATGTCGACATCGGACTCATCGGTCTTCAAGATTTGCGCGAAGCCATCACGATCGTCCCCCAGGATCCCACACTCTTTTCCGGCACGCTAAGGAGTAATCTGGATCCATTTGAACTCTTCACCGACGAAGAGATCTTTACAGCGCTTCGGCGAGTCCAACTCATTTCAGCAGCACATAGTGATTCAGAGCGGTCAGGCTCCACGACACCGCTCGAGGGATCTAGCGGGTCTCCAACAGTCGAGGAAGGCTCAAGTCCACCTGGAAGCCATGCCTCGTTCTCTGCGAAGGGGACGGTCAAATCTGACTCCACCTTGGTCCAAATTGCCAGCAACGGCAAGGAAAACAAGAATATCTTCAGGGACTTGTCATCGCCAGTGGCTGAATCTGGCTCGAACCTATCTCAAGGTCAACGACAGCTTTTGTGTCTAGCTAGAGCCTTACTGAAGTCGCCTAAAGTGCTGGTGATGGATGAAGCGACGGCATCGATCGATTATGCAACCGATTCCAAGATCCAAGACACTCTGCGAGAGCTCCATAACAACACCATTTTGACCATTGCCCATCGATTGCAGACAATTATTGACTACGACCGAGTGCTGGTGCTTGATAGAGGCGAGGTAGTGGAGTATGCTGATCCATGGGAGCTGATACAAAAAGAAGATGGTCAGTTCAGAGCCATGTGTCAGACAAGCGGTGACTTCGAGACATTGCATGAATTAGCAAAGAAAGCGTGGCAGGAGAGGCGATTGATCGATGATTCCTGACATGAGCCCGAAGATTTGCGGTAAGCATGGCGGTTGTCATCTTGGGGATTTGACGATTTGGGGATGGGAGGCTCTATTGCTTTTTGCACACTGCTTGACCAAGGCAAATGGCATCGACCCGTACATATATATCTGTCGTCCCTGCATAGTTGAGATTAGACAATTGGATGCCACAAGCGAGACAGTCTGAGTGGCAGCGGTCTGGCCGAGAAACAGACGATAGACGGGGTGGCCGAACGGGATAAAAGTCTGTATATGCAAGCCTCGCAGAGTGAAGGGACAAAGTCAAATTAATGGTCAGACAAAGCCATTTGCTCATTTTCTGTTCACTCGACCAATCGGCCTTCTCCTTCTCCTTCTCCAATCTGACTTCGGCATCGATGTCATCGCCGCCCTTCTCTGGAACACAGGGACTACCTCAACTGCCATCCTTCGCTTGCCTCTCCTCACCATTTTCTCCTCTCGAAGCCCTTTGCCTTGCGGGGTCGATAGTTTCTTCATTGGTTCTGTCCAGAGGAGCTCTACGTCGACTGCAATTCCGAGATGGGTCACTCTCTGTCACCATGGCATCCTCGGGTATATCACCCTCTCCTTCCAATTACGTCTGGCTGTTCCGACGAGATGGTGGTCCAAAGGAGTCTGGGCCAACCGCAAGCTGTTCCTATTCGTTCTCTCGAAACTACAAGATGACCTCCCCAACGAAAGGCACGAAGACAAGCATGCGGAGAAAGAGCTGGCTAGGTTTAAAAGAGCGCTGTTGTAGCCCGAGGGACGTCTGACCTTTCACTCGCAGCATAACTTGCTATCATCAAGTTTGATCACTGCTTTGCAAACTGAGACCACGCAATAGGTCACAATCTGATCAAGATGACTCCTGTCAGCGGCGCAAATGGTGCTGTAAGTCTCACCGAAAAGCCCTGTCACTATTTCAGGCCTCTATTTCTCCTAGGCCAGCCTTTCCGATGCTAACTATCAACCACAACCCAGACCCATTCTTGGGCATCATTGCCTCAGGCCATGTCCAAGGCAGTGTCCTCTCTCAACAAGACTTTGGACAAAGATCCCCAATGGCAAGCCTTCATCGACACCAAAGCCATCATTGAACCTGTGACAATGGGTGTCCAGAGTCTTGGAGGAGAAGAGGCGATCCTTGTCTCGGTGTCTCCCGGTGCCAAAACCACAACTTCGACTGGATCTGCTTCCAAGGCAGATTTTGTTCTTCGAGCCCAACCCGAACAGTGGGAGAAATTCTTTGCTGCTGATCCCGTGGCCCCCTATACCAGCTTTGTTGGGTTACAGGTGGGATATGTCGCTGAAGGTAATTGATACGTGGAAACTGATTCAAACAGGGCATGAATATAGTGCAAGAGGGAGTCGGCGTCGATGGAAACCAAGTGAAGTTCGCTCAATACTGCCACTTGGCTACCCGTCTTCTCGAACTCCTCCGAGAAGGCCAGAACGGGCCCTTGAAGGAAGACGAGCAACCAGAGACTGATGAAGACCACCTGACGGGCAAATACATCTACATCAACGCTCCCGTCTGGGGCCGCACAAAGGTTTTCTATGAAACTTCAGGCAACGGGCCTCAGCAGATCGTTTTTCTCCATACCGCAGGAAGTGACAGTAGACAATACCACGGTGTGATGAACGACGCCCGCATGCGCGAGAAATGCACTATGATCGCCTTCGACTTACCCGCTCATGGAAGGAGTTTCCCCGGGAGCAACCATATCCCGGGAAACCATACGAATAACGAAGATGCCTATGTCGGCACCATCAGGGAGATGGTCAAGGCCCTGAAGCTTAACAAGCCTATCGTTTGCGGCGCCAGCAGTGAGTTCATACCGTCTGAGATTTACTGCGAAATTCCATAATATCAGAGGCGCAGGCTTCTGAGAGAGCTGGTAAGAACCCATTCTGAGCAACGTGACTGACTCTCCTTGTGCTCTAGTGGCGGGGCAGGTGTGTGTAGCTGTCGCGATCAGGGCAGAGGAAGTCGGCGCAGGAGGCACCATTCCTCTCCAGGGATGCGACTATTTGACCATGGATCGGCAGTTTAATGACAAGAGCCCCGTGTGCAATCAAGCCCTGTTTAACCCGGATTGGAGTAAGAGGGCCATTTGCTAGGACGTTGAGCTTTGATGCCACTAACACATTATAGTCTACGGCATGATGGCGCCTAAGAGCCCCAAGGTCAATAAGTTGCTTATCTGGGTATGGCGGTCCCCCGATGCCCTGATCAAATTGCCCGATTCTCTCCCAACGACGTGCTGATTTCGTCCAGCATCTCTACTCCGGTCAAGCGTATGGCATCTTCCACGGCGATTTGGACTTCTACTTTGGTGGCTTCGACGCTCGTGATCGTGTCTCTTCCATCGACGTGAAAAAATGTCCCATCTACTTCCTCACCGGCGAATATGACTGGTCCACGACGCCAGAGATGTCACAAGCGACGGCGAAGAAGATCCATGGCTCGAATTTCAAGGCCATGAAGGGGCTGGGCCATTTCCCTGCCACCGAGGATCCTCAGAAATTCGTAAGTCTCGACGCCAGTCTTCCCTCATTCTATCCTACCTATCTCGCCCTATTGGCTTTCTGGCTTGACCCCTTGAATGAATGAATGATTGTATGACTTTTTCCGAGACGCTGAGGCTGAGCATGCGACATGATATAGGTTCCGTATCTGCTCGACGCGATCGACTGGATCCAGAAGACTCGCTCGTCCTAACAGAAACAAATCCGTCTAGGAATCGGGAATCAGTTGCGCTGGCGCTCGGGCCGGTCTAGTATTCGTAATGCGGAACATGACAAGCTTGCGAAATGCAAGGAAGGGGAAAACCACAGAGTACCGTTGCTCTCTGCTCTCGCAATGTGGGTATGGTATATATAGTATGTAGTGTTGTGGCTGGAGCGCAATAAAACAGAAAAACGCCATATGAAGGCGTCTAGCACGTACTCACTCCACCATTTGCAAGGGGGATATAGCAGTAGCCTACAAGTAGTTTTCCTGTCAATCACTACAACTGCAACTGCAACTGCACACATCTCCATCTGTATGCCACGCCCTGCCGTACTGTGTCATCCTTTTCATTGACAGCACCTACCTGCCCATAAACTACCTTCCGGGCCCGCCCATCCTCCACCATTTGAACTGTAAGGTTTGAGGTTCCCCACGAGGCTACGAGTCTCTCGCGCTCCTTCGAACTCTGACCCTATCCGCGTCCTTGGGTTGGGCGATATGGAATATTTCTCCCCTGGTTTTGGAGGGACCTCTGACTGATGCCTCGCTCTTTCTCTCCCTCTTGCGATATTGTTAGGGTGGAGCCAAGGAGGAATTTTGCGGGGACAATGCCCTGCCCTTTCTCACGTCTACCCGGCAGGTTCTAGAGTGAGCGACCGGTTTTATTTTTCGTCGTCGTTAATTAAACATCTCTATGATAAATCTTTGGGTCGTAATGGTACAGTGTCTTCGGGATGTGTTACCCTTTCATTTTTCAAGTTGAAATGTTTCTTTCCATGGCGCTGTGGGTCGAATGAAAGGCTATTTTCGGGGGTTTCATAACATCTGTTCATAGTACACGCAGAAACAGGTTCCGCGGCAAGCTGAGCACTTTGAGAGAGCCGATTCCCGCCTTCATATATCCCTCTATGCTCCCTCTCCAAAAGATTCAGTAATCTCTATAGGATCGAACTACTCTCATCTTCGCTGGGGGCTCGGCAGGGCCGCCGTCGGGATTCGTGACCGTCCCAGCGAAACCGAGGTTGGCATTCCAAGTGTCTGCGGTCGACTTGTCTCTGGTTCCGAGGGCCTGGATCTGAGCCTGGACGCTCCGACACAGTGTCTTCGCCGCGTCATTAGCTTGGCAGACGTTGGTGAGTTGGTCGCAGATTCGGTTGGTGATGATGTCTGTGATGGACATTATTAGTAAGTCCGCGCAGTCGGTGACTTGACAAATCAAGTGTTATAACGTACTTGGATTCAACGCCTCCTGCTGACCTTGAGCACAGAGAGGGTCGATGGGCAAGAAGGTGAATTCAGTTGCGGGCCGGCCACCGAGTCCGCCTTCGAACTTCATGGTTGGCACACACAGACCAAAATCAGCCCCGCTCACTGTAGACGCCTGGGTGGCGTTGCCTGTTGTATCTGCGGCGGCCGTTGATGTTTCGACAGCGGCAGAGGTTGTCGAGGTTGCAGAATCAGCAGCAGCAGAGGTTGCACCTGTGGAATGTTAGTCTTGTCATTTTCCCCAGTTTGGGGAGCGGGACTGACCAGATGCTTCGACGGTGCCACACACGTTGGCAGCCGCAGTGGCAGTAGCCGCAGTGGTGGTGGAGGCATCGGTTCCAGCGCTCACGGAGGCAGCTGGAGCAGCGCTCGTAGCACCAGCCGCAGATTGGGCAGTGAAGTTGCTGAACCCATTCTCAACCAGCAGATCCGCAACACTCTTGCCGGTGGCATCTAGTGGAGTCACCTTGGTCTTAGCAGACAAAGCATTTGCGATATCTGAGCCAACAACCGCCGGATCGATTAAAGGCGTAATACCTCGGAGGACATCAGTTGCCGGGAGAGAAGGGTCATCGCAGATGGTAGGAATCGACTGAACGAATGGGTTGAAATTCTTCTCCGCAGCAACAATGCCGATGGCAGCAGCAACAGCGTCAGCTCCGGTACCGAGCTCAGCGATGATTTGATCACCACGCTTGAGCTTGTCACAGGCATTTGCTGCAGCTAGTAGGTCGCTTATAGCAGCACCGGCGATGGTTGGGGCCACTCCTGGAGCACCGCCTTGAACGGCTGCAATGGCTGGGATAGGAATTTGTTCTTGATTAAACCGGGCATGGGCTATGGCAAGTAGAGTGGCAAGTACAGCTGTTTTGAACGACATATTGAAGGGAAGGTGGAATTCTGAGACGCAAGTAAAGATCGTATTGCGAGTCCGAAATGTCGAAAAGAGAGACTAGCTCGCTGAAGAAATGAATGAACCGACCAGCGGTAAATGATGCAAGGAAAATGAAAAGGTGAACTGCTTGAGCACAATGTAAAAGATATACCCAAGTCCGAGAGGACTTACATCAATTTATATTGCATGTTACCTTGGAAGGCGCCTTGCTAGAAGGTCGCCCTAGCCTGGGAAGAGGTCAGTCTAGTGGCGCAACCGCGTCTAGGAGGGAAATCCAACCTGAGATAGAAGGAGGATTCTGAAGGCGAGCATGTCGAGGACTACATGATACAATCCCGCCAAGTTGGGACGAAGAATAGGCTGGTGATCTTGGCATTCCACGAGGAGTAAAGGCTGCAAGGTGGCGTCATTCAATTTTCAACTTCGCTGCTTCAGAAATAACGGCAACGGTTGAGCACATTATTGGCAAATTGGACGCGGATCACCGAAGAAGCCGTTTGTTTGTTGCGCCGTCAAGGTGAAGCAAACGTTGTGTGGACTCGGGTTTCATGCGGCGAGGCTGACCCTGGTTCAGGGGTTGAGACACATTGGTCCGTCCACGGCGGCATCGAAACCGAAGCGAGTCCACGTGGAAGAGGCTAAGATCCGAAAAGCGCTCGATCAGGATCAATCGATCGGTATCATGATCCAGTAGTAAATGCTTGAGGGTCTTGAGATCACTCCTGATTTATGTTCATGGTAAAGAGAAGCGCCTTATTCAGGGTCGGAAATGTGCTGGCTTTCCTCAGACCCCGCTTGAAGAGAAGAGCTCAAGCCCATCATTTTCGACGGAGCTCAGGCGTCAGTTCAGCAACGATAAATGGATCACTTCGGGAGAAAAGGGTCTGCAGCGGTGGCAGGGAAAAAAAAAGCCCGAGTCTGGAAAACAGTGGCGGGTGAAGTTGCGCCGTTAGCAGGGTAATTGGGAGATACACTTTCACATAATATCCCCAGAAGCTTCGACGAGGCATTGGCAATATCACGGCAACATGCTCGGTAAAGAAGCGAGAAGTAAAGCTTCGTTGAGCTCAAAATCAGCAATGGGTCGATAGAGCTTCTGGGTGCTCAAGGAAGCTCAAGCAGGAGGAGCTTTGCAGTTTCGAAGGAAATTGGAGCACGTGATCATTGCCAAGCTCTACGTCATTCTCGTCACAGTTTGCGGCGTCTGGACTCGGTCGTCCGAGTTGGCGCGTCGCATTTCAAAAGTCAAACGCCTTATTGAATCAGTTGACATTTGGTAATATCAACCCAATACTGTAGATGGCGCATTTACCGTCATCTCTATTCCTTAGCTGATTGCAACACCCTCTCCCTTCCGGTCTCATCAAGTCGTTCGCTGCAGCCATGACGGATTGGAGCAAGTTGAAGGTCACTGAACTTAAGGAGGAGTGCAAGTCGCGTGATATCCCTCTAACAGGTCTCAAATTAAAACAACAATACATCGATAAACTCGAAGAGTACGATGCGCAGAACGGCGACCGGTCCACTGAAAATGAAGATAAAGATGACCCAGATGCAGAAACAGTCAAGGAACAACGTGCGCCGCAGGTAAACGGAGACGGTGGAGGAGGGCTCGATGATGACACGGGCGCGAATGACACCGCAAAAGACGAGGCGCCAAAGGCCGCTAGCGGAGAACAAACCCCTGGGTCTGGAAAGAACGAAGATGGAGCAGACAAACCTTCGGCAGTTCAAGAAAAGGACAGGCACTCTCAAGACCAAATAGAGATCAAGGAACAACCTATCACAGAAGCCTCTCCTCACACTGATGAGAAAGAGACGAAGGACGCTCCAGAGAATATCCCAGAGAATGTCGTAGAGAAGGCGGAAGAAAAGTCCGAAGAAGACAGCAAAACAGTCGAGGCCACTGGAGAAAGTGATAATACAGTCGCGGGTGCAGAAACGGCACTGAAGGAGGAAGAAGAAGAAGAAGCCATGATCACCGACCAGAACGCCGAAAGCCAGAAGTCAGCCGTCCTCCCCACACCACATCTGACTGAAAACCTCTCCGACTCCAATACATCCCACTCTTCGCAAATACTTTCCAGTGACCTTGCAGAAGAACAGAGGACACGGCGAAAAAGAAGCGCCACACCGGTTCCCTCTACGCAGGACGTTGCTCGCAAAAGAGCGAGGTTGGCTGAGGATGCAGAGGAATCGAAGGCAGCAGAAGCTCCAGACCAAATGAGAGAAGAAACAGAGGAGGCGAAAGACACTCGTGGAGAACAAATGAATGGGGAGGCTCCCAAAGTTGCTGTTGACGAACCTGGGGAAGGAGTTGTCACCACGAAGCCACTTTCCGCCTTTCAGGATACCACTCCAAGGAACCCCAAGGCAGAAGATCAAACAGTTTCTATGTCTCCACCCAGATCAACGACTTCATCAGAAGATCGAGATATTCCACCCGCCATCCACCCAGCAACATCATCCATTTACATCCGTAACTTTAAGCGACCCCTCCATATCCCTTCTCTTCGCGCTCATATTGCATCGATAGCAAAATCGCGTTCCTCTGACGACTCCGATCCCATCAACGTATTTTACCTCGACAGTATTCGAACCCATGCCTTCGTATCGTTTGCCTCAGTCGCCGCCGCATCTCGAGTCCGTTCTGCGATGCACGGATCACGATTTCCTGACGAACCTCTACGAGAACCACTCTTTGTTGACTACGTTCCCCCGAACAAGGTGCAAACATGGATTGATCAAGAGACCGGCAGTGGTTTCGGTCGAGGCGGCAATGGACGTCGTTTTGAAGTAGTTTACGAAGAAGGTGAAAAGGGCGTCGAGGCAATCTTCCAAGAAGTCGACACCAGCAAACCTCACCTACCTCCCTTCGACACAAGTCGCGGTTCCCGCTTGTCATTCGACAGGCAACAGTCGGAATCTCTTTCCGCAGGTGTACATGCTGACCGCGAGGCTTTGATCCCTCGTGGTAGTCACAATCGCGATCGTGACCGCGACCGCCAGTGGCCACCACCCGCTGGCCCCGAAAACCCATCCTCAAGCAATGGCACAGGCTTCAAAGCGCTCGACGAACTCTTCGACTCCACTTCCACTAAGCCGAAGTTATATTACAAACCTGTACCTTCGTCCGTCGCGAACGAGCGGTCAGACATGTTCCGCGGCCTGCGTTTGGGTTGGGAGGAGATGGGACGTAGTGGCGACGAAGGCATGAAGAGGTATTCGTTTGAGAGGTCCAAGGACAGAGAGGAATGGGTCGACAAAGGCCCTGAGTTTGGATTTGGGCGGAAGGGGCAGGCTAGGTTGGTAGGCGTAGGAGCTGGAAGAGGAAGGGGAGGAGGATATCGAGGCAGGCCTATGGACTCATGGAGAGGAGGGAGGTGATGACAGGCCATCTGCAGAAGAAGACGCCACGGTACGCCTCTTGCAACTGGGAGACGAAAGTCTATGGGTGATTGAAAATTGATGCAAGCCGCGGACTCTTCCTGGAGGATTAAGCGAATAGATGCTGGATGTGTTGTCATGTGGAAAATGAGAAAAACGCTTTGTTGATGCTCGAGGAATATCAGATGACAGAAGCTTACAGAGTCAAAAATGTAATCTACCAGGCCGGACGAGAGAGCCATTTATATAGAGATGCGCTGCGTCTAATGTTTGTTCTTTCGCTGCTCTCTCACCCAGTATCATCAACGCCCAACGAGAATTGCAGACCTATCCTGTCCATTTCAGCAGTACGTAGAGCCAAAGGGCCGTCACGATTCCCAGGGGCCTCAGTTTTGCAGCGAGCTGCTGCCATGGCGAGCCCCAATTGCCGGGGGGCGGGCTTTCCACAAGGCAGGGATCACCACCCTCTCAGCTCGTGTTTTCCGGTGTATCAGGGCCATGCTGGCTGGATCCAAGCACGAATATAGAGGAAATACTGACGGGCGTTTCCCTCTCTTATTTGTCCGCGATTCAAGGCCCGCGCCCCGCGCCTGTCTGTCTGCTCGCAGGGGGCGTCCTCCTACCAGTCGTCGCCCCAACCGTCCTCCTTGGTCTTCCGCGGCGGATTTGCCGTCACTGTTGCTGAAGGGGTTTTCCTCATCGCACTCGTCCCGATGCTGTTGCTGTTGCCTCCTCCGCCCTGGCCGAAACTGTCCCAGAAATCCTTCCGCTCCGGCTCCGTCCGCCTGGCAGCGGCCGAGGAAGCGGCCTTTTCATCCTGGCCCTCGACGAACTTATTGAACGATTCGGCGGCACCGCGGGCGCCGGATTGGATGCCCTGTCCCGCGGCCGCGGCCGCCTTTTGGGCCTGGGCAGCGAAATCCGAAGATGCGATCTAGAACCATGAGCTGTCAGTTATGTTGTTCTCCATTCAACGAGCCGTAGCCGAAGAGTGAATGAATGAACGGAGGAAGAATGGGAAAGAACCAACACTTCTGGCCGTAGGCTGAATGTAAGAATCATTCACCATCTTGGCCTGCTTGCTGACCATTCCCCCCAGCCAGCCAAACCCCTTCGTGATGGCCGCCACGGGATCCTTGGAGAACTCGTCCGTAGAGGGTATTCCACCTGAGCCCTGCTGCTGAGAGGGCTCCGGTGGTGCGCTGCCAAAGCCGCCGTACTTTCCGCCCTGGCTGGGAGGCAAGTTGTCCGGTCGAGTGGCATTCGCCTCGCCCATTCGCGCGAAGTATGCTTCATTCTGTGCCTTTTGATCGGCTGTTATGCGTCCTCCCTTGGTAGGCGCCGGGGACGCGGTCCGACTGCCTGGACGACTGCCGCTTGAGACAGCAGCATTATTGTTCCTTGCTCCTCCAGCCGGCGTAGCTGACCGACTTGCCTGCTTCTGCAAGATTGCCTGTCTTTCCCTTTGAAAGGCAGCATTATCAAACTCTCTTTCCTCCACCTGGCAGGTCAACCTTTCCTTCCACTCCTCCCCGATCTCACAGTCATAACGTTCCTTTATTGTTGCCTCCTCAAACGGTAACGAGGGGCTGTTCTTATTGTAGAAGTCTTGCCAGGCTTTGTTGCCGCCGTACTGCATTCGGAGGATCTCAGCCTGTTTAAATGCGTCCATCGATATGGATCGCACAAAGGAGACGTGGACTCCGAGTCCACGGTGGACGCCGGCACATTGCAGGCAGATGAAGGTGGAAAATTTGGGGGACGCCTGGATAAACAGTTAGATCACAGGAGAAGTACGATTTCAAAAGCGGATGCCCGTCAGTAGGACTCGAGACTCACCCATTGCGGCGAAGGGGCACCGCAGTCACAACACCTGTCATTACCGGCACCATCCTTTTTGCCCAACGCTGCAAGCTGTAAGAGAGAATCAGGGACTCGCATTCAAGACGAGACAGATCAGGAGAGCGAACCTTGGTCCTGGTCTCCGGGTCGACCTCCCACATCGCTTTGGCCGCCATGTTGTTCGGGGTTTCGTAATTAAACGTCGAGCGCGGGGTGGGAAGTTGTTCGTGTGCTCACTTTCTCAGCTCTCGTCAGGTCAGCTTGGTCGGAAATACATGCTCGAAAAGACCTTCTCTAAGGCTAATTTGCAGAGAGATATAAGTTGACGCGCAGGTCCTCAGACCTGTTTGCAGGTGGACCAAAGGTATTTCGAGCTGAACGTTGTTGGTACAATAATAGAGGAGTGGTTGGCCAGTCAAACCCCATTTGGCACTGAACCATCCAAATGTCCGCACCAGCCGCTGACATCTGACGATCTATATAATAACTAGTAATACATTCTACAACCTTCCGTGTATCGTCACAATCCACCCTGTAGTTCTGCAATGAGTGCCTTCTCTCGAGAACCGGTGATTTTCTCGAACCGATCAACACTCATCACAAACGTTCCTCGTCCTCCGGTCATGCTGCGGAGATGTTTGAGGTAACCAACCATTTCTTTCAGTGGCACCTTGGCCTTGACGGTCCTTTGGAAATTCACTCTTTGATGGTCCTCTCCGGCCAACGATGAACCGGATTCGAAGGGATCCTTTGGTGTATAGATCTTTCGCACGTCTACCCTTCTGGAGTCCATGTCTGTCTGCGATTGCTCTTCTTCATGGTCGCCAAGAGAGACAATATGCCCTCCCCGACCTGAAGAGATGTCCTGGATAACACTGCCTAGGCTTGCTTCATCCACGTTAATGTCGACATTCATCACGGGTTCCATCAGAGAGCAAGGACTGCTCTTGGTGGCATCTTTGAACGCTCCGATCGTGGCCAGTCGAGCAGCCGCCGTCAAAGATCCGTACGTTGTTTCCGTGCCAAACATGTGCTCGTCTGGACGGAGAGTCAAGGTGACTTTTGTGTTGCGCATCGGATAGCCCCAGGAAGGACCACGGCTCAAAGCCGCTAATGCGCCGTTGAGACATGCAACTTGGATTTCTGGAAGCAGGAGGTGTGGCGGCAAGCCTCCCGTCTCGCTGTCAAGTGCTCTTCCTCGCTGGTCCAGGGTTGGTGTCTCGATGATCACCAAGTTTCCGTCCTCTTCATGACTGAAATTATCTCCAGAACCATTATCAGCGTCAACAAGTCCGTCTTGAAAAGGTTCCACAAGGGCCGTGCACCCTGCCTTTCCCTTTGCGGCCGCACGTTCTCCCTCCAAAACTTTGGTGATGGCGTTGGAAGCTTGTGGCAGTGTTTCTCGGTAACCAATCGCAATCTTACCCATACGCGCTTTTGCTTTCAAATCGTTGACCAGTCTGTCTTGGGCAATCTCAAGATGCAATTCTCCCATGCCACTGATCTGAGTTTGGCCGGTATCTTCGTCCTGCGAAACCTGTAGGCTGGGGTCTTCTCGCAATAGCAGTGCGAGTTTTTCGTGCATATCTTTCTCTTCCCGCAAGCTATTTGGTTCGATGGCGGCGAAAAACACAGGCGGGGGTACCCTAATTGGACGCAGTTGTAATTTTTGCAATGGATGAGGTGGAGTGGCCTTGTTTCCCGCAAAGGAGATGAGCGTGTCACCAGTGCGAGCAAACTTTGAGCCTGCAATGACACCTATCTCACCAGCATGTAACGCCTGGACAGGGACTGACTCCGAAGCATACATCCGGAGTAGCGTCGTTGCTCTTTCTGAATTTTGAAGGTTCGTGTTGAACAGGAGTGCATTGCGCTCTATCGTTCCCGAATAGACTCGAATGTAGACCAGCATACCCTTGCGTGGATCATTGACCACTTTGAACGCCAATGCACAGGCTTGCAAAGCCTTGCCCACTGTCATCGGTACTGAATCGGTCCCTTTCTTCTTGGACTTTGGCGTGTGTTGCTTAAGTGACAAATCGCCTCGTATCAGCTGTGAAAGCCCTCCGGAAACTGATCCAAGACCGATTTCGGGATCCGGACGCTCTTCAGGAGAGGGCAGGAGGTTGTTGACTGCGTCTAGCAGAGGTTGCACTCCGATATTGCGAAAGCTGGCTCCAGCAAAGACTGGGATGATCATGCTGTGCGGAATGAGTAGACACCTTCGCAGACAGTCCCAAATCTGAGCAGGAGTCACGTTAAGATGGTCTTCTTCTGCCTCGAAAAAGGCTTCGACGAGCTGATCGTCATGTTCACTGAGTAGTTCTACAAGAGCGGTTCTAGCTCGTCGCAATTCTTGCGCGAGCTCCGGATGCTCTTGCTCCAACTGTGAGAGAGGATAACGCTGCATTGCTTTGCCATCTCCCCCACGCTCGTACAACAATCCCTCCAAGTTGATGACATCTCCCACGCCAGTGAAACGGCCCTTCCCACCCTCAAACCAAGGAATCTGACAGACTGCAGGCCATCCACCCAAGCGAGAGCCAATTTCGCGCACTGTTCTTCCGAAAGCCGCACCATCACGATCCAACTTGTTGACATATGCTATTCGCGGGATATTCCACTCGCCGGCTTGGGCCCATACTTGCTCGGTCTGAGCCTCGACGCCAGCAACGCCGTCCAGAATACAAACAGCGCCATCCAAGATTCGCAGAGACCGGCGGACTTCGAACGTGAAGTCAGCATGTCCTGGAGTGTCGATTAGATTGATGGTGTGCGGTAAACTTGAGCGAGGCTGAATTTCAATGCTATCGGTGGTAGCTGGAGGTGTTGCAGTTTGAGCTGGGGGCCATTCGAAGGTGATGGCTGCAGATTGAATGGTAATGCCGCGAGCCCGCTCGGCAGGAAGGAAGTCAGTGACAGTAGACCCTTCATCGACATCACCTATCCGCCGAGTATGACCACTATAATAGAGCATACGCTCAGTCGTAGTCGTTTTGCCTGCATCGATATGGGCGATGATGCCAATATTCCTGGTCCTTGAGGTCCTAGGACTCTGCAATGTGGATGCCGCGGGTGCCGCGCGGGGACATGATGACCATATATTCCTAGACTGAATCCGAAGAGAAGAAGAAGTAGGGCGAGATCGACATAAATCAATTAGAGGGGAGTGTCGGATGAATTGGGCATGTTGGACTTTCATCCCCTATCAAACAGAAGTATTTTCGTCAACCATAGAAACGCGAATTTTGTGCCTGGAATTCCAAAAGACGCGGAGTCGAGAAAAAAAGGTGAAACCGAAACCCGAATGAATGATGAACGACCGAGTCGGATTTTTTTTTGGTAGAACTTGATGGTGATGAGGCTCGAAAAACATATGTAGAAATTCTGCCGAGCATAAAGCAGCATCATTCGCTAGCCATCTTCAGCCCACTGGCCTCTTCAGCCAGGCGGGCAGACGCCTTTTTCCCGCTGCAACTCTTGCTCCAACCTGAATGCTCTGGACGTTGACCACGGCGATAGACCAACAATACAGCTGAATCGGGCTGCTTGACTTTGCTCCTGCTCCGTACGTTCTACAGCCCTCTGCGCAACCCTTCAGAACTTGAGAAGCAGTGGTCCGACAGCTTGGTCTTGCCTGCATCCATGTGCCGAATGCCCGCTTAATTGACCACACCACATCGTGAGCAGTTCTCCACTGCCGCTCTCGCAGCTATGGACTACTCTGCTGCTGCTACTGAAGCCGACGCTCTTCACGGCGCCTCTCCCTGGGGTTCTTCTTCTCCTCGTGCCTCCAGAGGCTTTCCCCAAGCAACACCGGATTCTCCAGAGTCACCCCAACCGATTCGAGGGCATTCCTACAATCAATCCCAAGATAGCATTCCCGATAGCCCCTATCTACCTCCACCTAATCAATCCAATGTGTCCGTACCTACAGAGTCTGGGATCTCGGGAGAGTCAGAAACTGCTCCCCAGAATCAACGTCCGGAAGAGGGCTCGGTGCAAGCACAGGCTGCCGCAACACAGCCACAGGATGTCCAAACATCCGCGGCAGCGCAACAATATACTGGTCCGCCCCAACAACGGCCAGGGGCTACAAGATATCATAACGCAAGGCAAAACAGACCGGTGCCGCAATATAAGCTGCAAGCCAAGGTAACTGCGCTAGAGAGAACGGGACGCAAAGATCCCGTTATCAGGTTTGACGTCTATGTATGTTGCGCTTGTCCATGACAAGAAATCTAGCTAACACCTGTGGAAGACCAATCTTCCCAAATTCCGGACCACCCAATTCCGAGATGTCCGTCGGACGCACTCCGAATTCGTCAAGCTCGCCGACCATCTCATATCTTCAAATCCAGAAGCACTTGTCCCTGCCGTGCCTCCCGCCCAAACTTCTGCTGGAGTAGGCACCGACGAAGATGAAGCCCGAGTTAAGGCAGCAATTCAAAGATGGCTGAATTCTGTATGCAACAACGATGTGCTCATGCGTGATGAAGAGATGGTATTCTTTGTGGAAAGTGATTTCGGGTACTCTCCCGTGGTGAGAATGAAGCAGCCAGCGACTGGAGTAAGACGGAAAGTCTTGAAACAATTTGCGCCACCGCCCGACGATACGCCTGAGCTGCACGAGGCGAGGCCCGTTGTCAAAACGTTCTACCTTAGTTCGCTGGACACGAGCCAGAAGCTCGAAAAGGTTGTTAAGGCCAGACGAGGTGAGTCGCGACTGGATCTCCCCGTGGTACTTGTGCTGAAATTCTATAGCACTCGGTCTTGCAGAATCGTCCCTTGGAGAAAAACTTGGCCAAATGAATGTCCAGGAGACCCACCCGGGTCTAGCAACCGCATACCGCAAACTGGGACGTATCATTCAAACATGTGGCGATTACCACGCCGCACAAGGAACCGCTGAAGCCACGACATTAGGGGATGCACTCACATACCACTCTTCTGACGCCTTCATCGTCAAGGAAACATTGACAAACCGACACATCCTGCTCCGTGAGCTGCTCCAGACGGAGGCATCCCGTCGAAGCAAGGAAAATGCCGTTCAACGCCTTAAAAGTTCTTCCAGCGTTCGCCGAGATAAAGTCGATGAAGCAATATCTGCGCTTGACGAGGCAATCTCTCAAGAAAACTACCTCCGCTCAAAAACCCAACGCGTGACGGCAAATTTACTGCTCGAGAAACGACGCTGGTTCAATCGCACATCCAATGAATTCATGCTCTCTCTTCGTGAGTACGTCCTGCGTCAAATCGAAGCGGAGCGCCGCACGCTCGCAACTCTCGAAAGTGTCAGGCCGGATATCCGGGCAATTGACGCCTCAGGTGGTTTGAGCAGATTGGGGCGGGAGAATCATCCCACAGTAAGGAGGATTAGCATGGCCAGCAGCCAAGGCGCGAAAGGTGACGCTTGGTCTGGTGTCCCACGGAGCAGGGATGCTCTTTCTAGAAGTCTGTCTGGGAGCTTCGGACCGGGAGCGCTGGGCGTCCCTCTCCCGGAAGAGAACGAGAACGGGACAAATGGTGCAGGGTTGGCGCAAGCGGGACGACCGAGGAGCGCCACAGGGGCCAGCCTGGAGAGGGTCAAGGAAGACGAGGACGAGGATCGCGTCGATGCGAGGAACGCCGCCAGTCGGTTGGCACAGAGCACGTTCTGATCTAAGCACGTCCCTTCTATGACAAGAGCTATGCGGCTTTAGGCGTAAGTAGCGTCGCCGAACCTGTCGAGACTCAAACCAAGACGTTGAACATTAGCTGGACGAGACTAGGTGCAAAAAGAGAACAAGTGACCAAAACGAATAGGGCAGGAGGAAACGAGAGGCACTACATCCCGGCGGCACCGTGAACACGCAGGCGGCAGATTGAGAGGGTGTTTTTCTATCTTATCCAAGCTCAGTTCTACTGTATAGGGTCCCTATTCAGCAGTGTGTTCTAGCATGTGAGGACCGTCCCAGTTAGCATAGACCTGTAGCTCCTGCGAGTGTCTGGACCTGAGCGAAGAATAGCTCCCGTCGCTCAGGTCATCATGCGGCCCAACTCACCAAGCCTCTCAAGGCATTCCCGCTGTCATCTTTGGCAGTCAATGAACCGAATTTCTGCTGTTTTCCTCGTCCCTCAAGTCCATTCGTTCGCTACATCCTTATTGACTCTCCATAAGTTTCTGACACAGTTCGCGCCTTTGCACTTCTTCCTATTTGGGTATTCGCTGATACTTCGCCTCACGACTCGGACACATTAAAGATTAAGGGTTGTGAGGCTGATAAGCCCATTCTGGTGTTGTATTGCGCATGTCGTTGGCCAAGGTGGTCTCGTTACTTCTCACATGGTTTCTTGTTTTGGAACATGACGTCTCTTGAACGTGTCCAGGTTCGTTTCAGCGTAAAGTCCTTTGAACCTTTCGAGGTTCAGATGCCAGTGTAGTCGAGTTCAATCGAAATTTATTGGATGGAATGATCGTTGTGAGGGCTTCTGATCTGGATGGCAAAGGGTGTCGCAATTTCAATATCATGACCGAGATGGGCGGTTTAGAAAGTCGGGCCCAAGCTGCTCAACAAGTTCGTGAGTCTCTCGCCTTCCATGTTGCTGGAGACAAGAGTGTCATCGACTTGCGCATTTGTCTTTATATTCTCTCGCTCGACGCTACTGCCATTGCCATTGACTGCTGCAGGTGTTGGCACCGTGGAGTCCAGGGTTGAATCAGAGGTAGTTTTCGTACTCGTTCTCATTGTGCCGCCGGCGGGATGAACAGGGATGATGCCCACAGGACCGCCGGGAGCTGCGATACTGAAACTGCGTGGTTGCATGGCAGGACTGTCAAGAGGAGTGCCGATAGGACTCGTGCTTGTTCCTCGACTCCCACTTCCGATCGCACCCCAGGGATTGTTGCTTGGAAAGGTTGCACTTGGAGATCTCATCGGTACAACGTGACCATGACTCTGGGCAAAAGGCTTCGCACCAGCGGGGAATTGCAACTTCTTGATTGTAGCATGTAGGATTTCCCGCTCTGCGAGTAATGCGCTGCGCTCCTGATTCATCTTCTCGATTTGGGAGGTCATCTGATATTTTTCTGCTTGGAGAGCCTCAATTGTGTCCATCAAAGCGCGCTTCTCTCGTTGCGTTTGCTGAACGAGGCTGCGGAGGAACTCGTTGTCAGTTTGGAGGTGAGTGGCATGACCCTGGTCCATGCTCATACGAGGAGATGGTGTGCTGGGACGGCTGTGACCAATGAGCGGAGTATCAGTTCTGGAGACTGCATTGCTGCCACTGCCAGTGCTCTCACACTGAGTGTTGTTAACGTTGGGACTTGCTAGAGACGACACCGAAGCAGACGAGCGATTCGAGATAGCAAGCTTGTTCAATGCGCGCTCGAGAGATCTACCTGCCTTGGCCGGTTCTCCTGGAACAACTTGACGAGGTGCAGCCGTATAGTGGCCCGTGTCATGGTGCGCGTATACTGATTCCATATTAGCACTGACTTAAGCTCCTGCAACAGCACTGTAGCCTTGTAGGAGTGACTCACAGCAATCTTCTTCAGAGTATTTGCATTCCCCCTTCTCCCACCACCAGAAGCAAGTGAGATGTTTGACCGAGCGACGATTCTGACAGTCTAGAACTTCTCCCGGTGAGGGTAAGGGTGAAGTAGCACGCGAGCTGGGTCGGCTGCGGAATTTCATTGAGCGTCGACTTGGACCTTCTCCTCCAGTTCCCAATTCTTGTGGTTGAGTCCGTGTTATGACAGGGACAGATGATGAGCGAGATTCACCTCGTGGGCGGGCACCTTGTCCACTGGGGCGAGAGCGACGAGAAGGTGTCTGTTGCACACCCGGACTGCCTGGAGAATTTGGCCCCGATTTTGAAGGGTCTGAATATGCAGGGAATGATTGCTGCAAAGGACTGTGAACTAGAGGACTGCTGCTATGACGGGGAAAAGAAGGGGAAGGTGCTCGACTCCAAGGACTGGGGTTTGGATGCAGTCGTGAACGAGAGGCCATGCCTGAGAAACGGAATGACTTTGGTTTAGTGGGAGCTCCAGGCGGCACTTTTGAAGAAGAGGATGAAGATGATTCTGATGACATAGTCCCACCAGACGGGAGGAGTGATTACGGCCTGAAGGCGGAGGAGTAGATCTGGTTACAAGAAGAAGGAAGGTGGTGAAGGGGGATCGCGAGGGAATGGGTGGAAGACGGTGAAGTTGCAAGAATAAATTCATCTTAGGAGCTGGTGAGGCAGAAATTCAATGCTCTGGTTGAACTGATTGCTTGGTGTCTACTTCGTTTGCTCTCATGTGCTTGTCACTTCGCTTCGTTTCTGAGATGATTTAGTCGCAGTCAAAGAAAGGCTTTCCACAGTTCATTCTTACAGTATTGCCCTCTACCCCTTCCGCTGCCGACGTCTCCATTCTTCGAGTTTGTCGCGAAAATCCCCAGAGAAATCACCATGTCGTTGAGCCCCGTCATCTGCCAGGACTTAATACTGTGCTTTGTCCTTTAGAAAGATGTGCGCCTCCACAGATGGCAGAACGGGCTCGGCCTCAACCACTGTCCCCAAAGTCACTCCGATGCGCTCTGCCTCCAAAAAGTACCGCACGGAAACTGGAGAGCCACAGGACTTGCAGAAACCACGCTCGGCGATGTCACTCGCCGACCAGATGTCCGGCTTCTGTGTCCATTCCACCGCTGAAGCTGGGAAGCCCACGAAACCCAGGAAAGGTCAACCTGACACGCGTTGGCACGTGATGCAGTGACAGGCGGTCACGGCAAGAGGTTGACTTTTAGTCTCATACCGGACACGTCCACAAGCACAGCTGCCTTTGATCATGTTGAAGGGACTGGGGGATGCGGGTCTGGAAAATCAAAATACCTGGGCATGTTCAACACAGGACAGTCGATGGTTCAGATCATCGTTTGCCGCCGAGCCGCTTACCCAACAAAGCAGCGCCGTAGGAACTATGACGGTTTGGTCTTAGCAGGTTTTGTTGTTTTGCTTCCCAACCACTTAAAATCCCTGGGGTTTCATCTTTACATACTCTCACTGCACGGCCTCTTATTCTTATTTTGCAGATTGACGCAGATCATGAAGACAATTGGAAAACCCTCCGTCGGGATACTGGACGCGGCTACAAAGATGGAGGTAAGGAATCTCTTCATAAGCAGCATGGCAACTTTATGCTGGCATTTTGAGGTCACTGCTCGAATGAGGCAGGAATTGGATTTCCAGAAAACAAAGGCGAGATCCCGCCATAATGGTTCAAGAATATTCGACAGAAAGCAAGAAACAACTGTCAGTTTGCTTCTAGGACATCGTGCCGACTCAGAAGTGTCAATGGCGTACAGGGCGGAGCAAAGAAAAGAAGAAAGGCCAGATTTGTCAGACTCTTTGAGGAAGGTTGAGTACACGAAGCATCTCGCTGCTGAACGCTGGCTGAAGGAGCAAAGCAGGAGACTGATACGGTGGTAGAATTGATCCTGTCAAAGTCGATGACCCTTCTACTATGTTCTAACTAACGCTCGACGCTTTCATTGACTGCGAGTTGTCGACAATAAGTCATTGCTCCAAATGTGCAGAGACCTACAACACATATGCACCGAATACCATCACCCAGGCGTCCTCTTGCTAAATTATGCAAGCACGTGTATATCCTCTGTATGTCTCAGGAGGGCCATTCAGCATATTGTGCCTCCTCGAAAACCAATCTTGTCCAAAGGTCGGCTATTTCGTGGCCCGTTAAAGATCTGTCAACAAGAAATCCGTTAGTGTATATAGAGGTTGTGACCGGGAGTCGATTCGTACGGTTAAAAAGCCAGAGCCAGCAGGACAAAGTCCGAGTGCTATCTTTATTGTCGCGCTTCTCTATTTCCCGAAATAAGGCCACGACCACCGTCTCCAGAGCTCGTTTGCGTTAGCCCCTGCTGCCAGGCCGATTGGTTGTCGTAAAAGACCCCTCTAGCATCGCGATCGTCTGACTGCCGGCTTCTGTTAATCAATCTCCGAACAAGGAAAAATGCTGTGAGGCACATTGTGTCCGGGCGTGACAAGGAGGATGCGATGCTTCCGATCCTCGGCTGCGATTGAACAGGAAATAAATTGAGCCTTTTCAACAGTGTACATTGAGTGAGTGGCCGTGAAATAGCTGCTCGGTGAACTGAGAACCAGCGTCCTATGCCCCAACTCTTATACAAGATGGTCCAACTGCGTTATCCCATGACTTATCTCGCGGATGACGAGGCAGACGAGGCACCTTACCAGGGAGGCATTGCCCTCAATGAATAAGTACCCCCGAGGTGCGCCCAAGACAGAAGTTGGTATGGATTAGTGATTTGGCGAATTAGTGGCTCTGGTGGTACAATCCGACAGACGATACAAGACATAAAATGAGATTGCTGATTGCCTGTTGTGGAAGTCGATTCGAGGTTGGGCCCAGCAGCATGGATCGCCGTATCCGCCGTTTCGAATCGTGTTCCTGACGCGGATGGAACCATGCCGTCAATGTGAGAGTCCCAATGGGGTCAAATCTACGAGCCACTCATTTAATGGAGCACTCAGCGCACAGATACCAGAACTGCATTGGACCTGTGCTCTATGACAGCGTGCGAGACTGTGTCTTTTGCAGCAGCAGCTCCTTCAGCTCCGCCTTAATATTGGCCGCGGATCCTTGCAATCTCACCAGTGAATAGCAGTCGGGAAGGAGGTTTGAAGAAGGCTACTGATATGGCAATTTGTAATCATGGAAGCAAGCGTGGAATGATTGATTGGCCTCCCTCATTCAGATACTTGTTCGATGGCATGGTGTAATTTGTCTGGAGCAGCAGAGAGTGCTGAAAGGCTTTGTATTTTCATTCTCCACAGACCGAACATGTCTATATACGAATATGGCAGATCTCGTGAGGGTACTTGAAAGACTCAACCGCTTCGAGCTGCCTGGTAATAGATGAGCGAAGTCGACCGGTCTATTCTGTGACTTTTGCGGCATGTCGTTTGATGAGCCCAAGGAGCAGGGCTTCGCTTTCCACACAGCTGGGAATTTCGTCCATAATTCCATGCATAGTAGGTTTCCATCCCAGCAGTTTCTTTCCTCGACCGGATACTCCCCTTGAATTGGTCCCGATCAGTAGCCTTGCATGCGGTAGATATCTTTCGGCTTCCATAGGACTCAGGCTCTCAACAGTTGCATCTGGCAGGAGTCCTTCTTTGTGTGCGGCCTTCGCGATCTCTTGGATTACGTCTCCCCAGACAAACGGACCATTCTCAGCTAAATAGTAGCCCTGATCATTCCACGTCGCCGGTGAACCCCCATTGACAGCAGCCTCACCAATGAGAAGAAAAAGATTAGACAAGTCGCGAATATGGACTTGATGCCAGATGTTTTCCCCCTTTCCGACTTTGAAGGCCTTCCCACGCTTCAGAAAGCTAGCCGTCGCCTTGTACAATTGGTCGGAACGTGTGTTGTCTGGACCCCGACCGTGACCCCAGATTGTTGGAGGGCATACAATTGCCGTCTTGACCTTGTCTGACGAGGTTGCCAAGACAATTTTATCGACCTGCAGTTATGGTAAAAAATTGGATCAGTAGAGTGACCTAGAAGTGCTCACTGAAAGCGGATAAGGAGAGTTCATATGACCGTGGAGTGTCTGCTTCGCGAAAGTGCACAGATGCGGTACTATGGCGGCTCTTCGAGGTAGGCTCTTCGAGGTAAATATCGAAGGATCCGCGGTGAGTCTTGCTGCTTGATTTACAGCGCTCTTTCCACCAATGTAGGACATTGCCCAAAAAAAAACAGCGTGTGCAGAGTACTTACGTTCCTGTGGGCAGCTTGGTCGGGATGAGACATCAATTCGTTCACATTGTCCCAGTCGTCGTAGACCTTGTTGAGCCTGTTTCCAAAGTCGGCAAGATCAATTGTTTCCCAACCTAGAATTAGTGTCCCGGACGTGTGTATCCAGTAACCAGGACCTTCGCTATTTCGCCGAGCAAGACCTTTGGCGATGGCGCGCGCCGATGGCTCATGGTCGCAATTGGCAAAATGATAGACTATGTCGGTGTTGGCGGCCTCCTCCTCTATCAGGTCCACCGCGTCCAGATCTCCGTAGACTAGTCTCACTTTTGGATAGGCAGCAGCAATTTTGGCGCCTTTGTCGCTGTTCCGAACCATGCAAGTGAGTTCCCAGTCTGGGTGTTTTTGCGAGATCAGATAGAGGCCGTCGCCACCTATATAACCTGTAGCTCCTGTAAGAAAGACCTTTGGTGCCATGGTTGGTTATGCTTGGGTTGGGAAGGGGGTAGAATCATTTTCAAAAGGAGAATGAGGAGAAACTTGAACTAGGTGTGATGATGGGGTTGTCACCAGGCTGTGACGTCGAGCCGTTTTCGAGATTGATAAGTGCCATTTTGTGCGAACCGCCTCACCGTAATATCGCGCTTTTCCGCAAACGTACTTCTTTTGAACTGTCCCTCTTTTGACGCATGAAGGGCAACACAACCACCATCGCCTCGACCACCAACACGACGATCCCTCTCTGCCAATAAACTCCCAGCTTGCCGACATCGCATTTATATGCGGACTCTGGATTAGCCAGTACAGCTTGTCGAATCAGATCGGATCGCTCCCTGTTGGACCGGATGTCGCAGCCTCCCTCATGAACCCTCGAGGACAACTCTTTCGAAGATAGCCTTACTGGGGCCGCAGTTCTTGACGACTGGACGTGATGCCTCTGCCAGTTGGCTCTAAGAGGAAGCGACCAGAGCGTACATACTCAGATGATCAACCACACTCTCGTCCTTCGCCTCATCGACCGGGAAATCTCAGCCTCGCTCAGTCGACGCCACATCACACGTCAGGAAATGATCGCGACTACGGCCAACTGCGTGGAAGAGGTGGTCGGCGATCAAGCAGAGGAGGTCGAGGCGTTAACCTTGCGTCTAGCCCACTCAACCCCCCGGCAGACAAGCCTCCTACCGCCACGAAGACACCAATAACTGAACCAGAGTCCAGCAT